AAAAAAAAAAAAAAAAAAAAAAGAAAAAGGATAGTCAGGATATAAATGCAGATATCTGACTCCAAAGCCTATACTCTTTCTACTAAACCATAGCATGTTCATTTATCAGAAAAACAAAATGGGACTGACATTCTCTAATATCAAGGATGATAAGAATACCTTAAATGAGTGCTAACAAGAATATACACACATATTTATTAGCATATCATGGTTCTGATTCAATTTAGTCCATCTGTGTTTTGTGATCAACATTACAGCTCTCATCTATTTATTTGGGATCAAACTACTATAGATTAAAGAAGAGAATCCTATGATGAGAGCTTCTACAAAAGACCTGTCCAAAAACAACCGGGCAACTGAATCATTTGGGCTGCTTGTTTAAAATGTAGATACTACGGGCCAGGCGCGGTGGCTCAAGCCTGTAATCCCAGCACTTTGGGAGGCCGAGGCGGGTGAATCACGAGGTCAAGAGATCGAGACCATTCTGGTCAACATGGTGAAACCCCGTCTCTACTAAAAAATACAAAAAATTAGCTGGGCATGGTGGCACGTGCCTGTAATCCCAGCTACTCAGGAGGCTGAGGCAGGAGAATTGCCTGAGCCTGGGAGGCGGAGGTTGTGGTGAGCCAAGATCGCGCCATTGCACTCCAGCCTGGGTAACAAGAGCGAAACTCCGTCTCGAAAATAAAATAAAATAAAATAAAATGTAGATACTACATATAACCAACCAAAGATTATTATCCAGGATATATAAAGAATTCCTACAAATCTTTAAGAAAAGGCACACAATTCAACAGAAAAATAGGCAAAGAATATGAATAAGGGATTCACTGAAAAGGAAACCTGAACAGCAAATGAAAGGTGATTAGCCTCTCTAGTAATCAGGAGGAAACACAGTTAGCTTAAGATACTATTTTACATAGCGCATAGAGATACAAGTTAAACAAACCAGGAGGAAACAATCAGTCAAACCCAGAACATGGGACAATCTACGGAATGCCATCCTGGATTTTATATGCACACATGCACCCATAGTCTTGAGACAATCGAGAAAATCTGAATATGGTTCAGAGATTAGAGGACATTAGGGAATTACTGTCAATTTTCTTAGGTGTAGTAATACTACTGTAGTGACGTAGGAAAATGCTCTTAAAGAGATGTATGTTGAAGGGATGATGTTATGATATCTGCAACTTTCTAATGAGCAGGGGAAAAAAGTATGTGTCTATGAGAAAGAGAAAATAAATAAATCAAACTATTTATTGAATCTAAGAGGGTTCACAGATGTTCACCAAACTATTCTTTCAACTTTCTTGTAACTGTAAACAACTTCAAAACAGAAAGATGGAAAGACCTTTAAGACTCCGCACTGGCAAACACGAAGTCTGATAAAATACTGAATTTCCTAAATTTTATAACTATTTTGTGTTTATGTTAGAAAATATCCTTGTTCTTAGGAAATATATAATGAAATATTTAGGAGCAAAGGAGTACGATGTCTACAACTGATTTTCAAATGGTTCAGGAAAAAAATCTGTATAAAAATGTATATAAAATCATGTAAAATTATTTATGATGAGATTAAGCAAATGTGTTAAAATAGTAATTGGTGACTCTGGGTGAAAAGCAATTGTGAGTTATTTATATTTCTCTTGCCACTTTTCTGCAAGTTTGAAGTTTTCTCAAAATAAAAGCTTTAAAAAAAAAAAAAAAGTTGGGGCCAGGTGCAGTGGTTCACGCCTGTAATCCCAGTACTTTGGGAGGCCGAGGTGGGCTGATCACCTGAAGTCAGGAGTTCAAGATCAGCCTGACCAACATGGAGAAAACCCATCTCTACTAAAAACACAAAAAATTAGCCCAGCGTGGTGGCACATGCCTGCAATCCCAGCCACTTTGAGAGCTGTGACAGGAGAACTGCTTGAACCTGGGAGGTGGAGGTTGCAGTGAGCCAAGATTATACCACTGCACTCCAACCTGGGCAACAAGAGCAAAACTCCATCTGAAAAAAAAAAAAGGTCGGGTCCCCGCCTCCCCACCTGTCTGCGGCTGTGTGGCTGAAACCAAACAGAGGGAGGGTGCGATGCAGACTTGCGCAGGTCAGGCTCGGACCTGCGCTGCCTCAGGATGTGAAGTGTAACAAGGGGACTGACAGGGTGGGCAGCGTGGGCTCCGCAGTGGTCCACTCCGGTTGCCGGGTGCAGATTCGGGTTCCCAGCCCAAGGCTGCCCGTTCTCTGCCGCTTACTGTGGCCCCGACAGGCTGGGGTTACTGCGGCAGGTAGTCCTGGTGCTCTGCAGGAGCCTACGGCTACCCCTCAGCAGTACTTGGGGCTGGTCCTGGAGGAGCTATGCAGGGTTGTGACAGTACTGCCTGAAAGTATGAGACCAGATTCTAATCCTTATGGTTTTCCATGGGAATTGGTGATATGTGCAGCTGTTGTTGGATTTTTATGTGTGGGGAGAAGTTTTAGACTGGTTAGGAGTTGGCTTTATGTGGGAAGAGAGAAAAAGCTTGCTTGTAACCGTTTCTGGACTAATTGAAGAAAAATGTAACTACTTGAAAATTTTAGCCTTGTTCAAAAAGAGTATGAAGGCTATGAAGTAGTCATTTTTAAAGGATCCCAGCTTTGAGAAGGAAGCAACAGAAGTACAAAGTTTGGAGGCAACCTGTAAAAAGCTGAACAGGTCCAATTCTGAACTTGAGACAAAATATTCTGTCTAGAAAAAGAGTTTTAAAAAAGGAGAAATCTAAACATTCTGAACAAGATGAATTGATGGTGGATATTTCAAAAAGGATACAGTCTCTAGAAGATGAGTCAAAATCCCTCAAATCACAAATAGGTGAAGACAAAATGACCTTCAAGACATTTCAAATGAATGAAGAACGACGGAAGATAGCAATAAAAGATGCTTTGAATGAAAATTCTCAACTTCAGGAAAGCCAGAAACAGCTTTTTCAAGATGTTAAAGTATGGAAAGAACAAATGAGTGAACTTAATAAACAGAAAATAACATTTGAAGACTCCAGAGTACACGCAGAACAAGTTCTAAATGATAAAGAAAATAACATCAAGACTCTGACTGAACACTTGCTGAAGATGAAAGATTGGGCTGCTATGCTTGGAGAAGACAATGGATGATGGTAACTTGTAATTAGAAATGAACAGTGAATCGGAAAATGGTGCTTAGATAATCCGCCAAAAGCAGCTTTGAAGAAACTGATTCATGCTGCTAATTTAAATGCTTCTTTAAAAACCTTAGAAGGAGAAAGAAACCAAATTTATATTCAATTATCTGAAGTTGAAAAAACAAAGGAAGAACTTAGGATATTAAAAAATCTTCAGACTGAACAAGCATCTTTGCAGTCAGAAAACACATTTTGAAAGTGAGAATCAGAAGCTTCAAGAGAAACTTAAAGTAATGACTGAATTATACAAGAAAATGAAATTAAACTCTACAGGAAATTTACAGTAGAGAAAAATTACTGGTTAGAGAAAGAAGAGAAACTTTCTAAAGCAGACAAAAGATCAACCATGCCACTGAAGAGCTGCAGACCTATAGAAAGTTAACCAAAGATCTTGAAGAATTGGAGAAAACTATTCATTTTTATCAAGGGAAGATTATTTCCCATGAGGAAAAAAGAATATGATAATTGGTTGGTAGCTTAGACTGCTGAAAGAAACCTCAATGATTTAAAAAAAGAAAATGCTCACAATAGACAATTAAAACAGAGTTTAAGTTTGAACTTTTAGAAGAAGATCTTTATGCACTTGATCTTCCAAATACAGCATCTGGCAGAGAGCATTCTCCATACAGTCCCTCACCTGGGTCGGCCTTCATCTGAAACAAGAGCTTTTCTCTCTCCTCCAACTTTGTTGGAGGGCTCACTCAGACTCTTATCTTACCTTTGCTTCCAGTGCGAGAAGAAAGAGGCTCAAGAGGCCCAGGGGCCCTCTGGACCATCAGATTACCAATGAAAGAGGAGAATCAAGCTGTGATAGGTTAACCGATCCTCATAGGGCTCCTTCTGACACTGGGTCCCTGTCACCTCCGTCAGAACAGGACCATAAGATGATGTTTCCTCCAACAGGACAATCACATCCTGATTCAGCAATTCCTCGACAGACAGATTTTATTCTAATTCTGGTAGACTGTCTGGACCAGCAGAACTCAGAAGTTTTAATATGTCTTCTTTGGATAAAATGGATGGCTCAATGCCTTCAGAAATGGAATCCAGTAGAAATGATACCAAAGACGATCTTGGTAATTTAAATGTGCCTGATTCATCTCTCCCTGATCAAAATGAAGCAACTCGTCCTAGCTTTCTTCCTCCACCTCTTGCTCCAATCAGAGATCCATTGTTTCCAGTGGATACAAGGGGCCCATTCATGAGAAGAGTGCTTCCTTTCCCCCAACCTCCTCCAGGAACCACATTTGGAGCTTCCTGAGATTATTTTCCACCAAGGGATTTCCCAGGTCCACCACATGTTCCATTTGCAATGAGAAATGTCTATCCACTGAGGGGTTTTCCTCCTTACCTTCCCTCAATACCTGGATATTTTCCTCACACGCCCACATTCTGAAGGTAGAAGTGAGTTTCCTTCAGAGTTGATTCCACCTTCAAATGAGCCTGCTACTGAACATCCAAAACCACAGCAAGAAACCTGACAATATTTTTGCTCTCTTCAAAAGTAATTTTGAAGTATCTCATTTTCAGTTTAAAGTGACTACCACTGTTACATAAGTGATTACATTTTTGCTCAAATTGAAGCTTAATGGAATTAATTCTCAGGACAGTATTTTATAAACAAAGATGATTTAAATATGAATCTCATGAGTAAATTATTTCCTTTTTATTTTATTCTAGATAGCATAACTATTTTAATTTGATTAATCCACTATTATATGAACAATAGTGGGAGTTTCATATACGTAACCTTGCAGGTAGGGAGGCTTTAAATTCTAAAAGCTGTGTCTTTATGCCAAGAACTGTATTTACTGTGGTTGTAGATAAATGTGAAAGTAACTTTATGCTTAATTAAATTAAATAAAGTTTAGTTGATTTAAAGATTTATTTGGCATTGATAATAATAAAATCAGCTAGTTTTTCTATTTAAAAAAAGTTTGGGCTGGGCGCGGTGGCTCACGCCTATAATCCTCCCAGCACTTTGGGAGGCCGAGGCGGGTGGATCACCTGAGGTCGGGAGTTCAAGACCAGCCTGACCAACATACTGAAACCCCGTCTCTACTAAAAAAATACAAAAATATTAGCCAGGCATGGTGATGTATGCCTGTGATCCCAGCTACTCAGGAGGCTGAGGCAGGAGAATTGCTTGAACCCAGGAGGCAGAGGTTGCGGTGAGCCCAGATTGCACCACTGCACTCCAGCCGGGGCAACAACAGTTAAACTGTAGCTCAAAAAAAAAAGTTGGACAATGTTACAGGGTTGGCAAAGATGTAATAGAATGGTAGCTCCCGCATTGCTGGTGGGAGTAGAAACTGAAAAACTCTCTATGAAAAGTAATTTGAAAATATCTACAGAACTTAATTAAGGATGGACATACTTTCTGACCTACGGTCCTGCTTCTGAGCATAGTCCCCATGTGTTCAAGATGTGTACAAGAATGTTATACTCGGCATTGTTTGTAATAGCATAAGCCTGGTAATCAACTAAATGCCTCCCCAAAAGAGAACAAATAAATAATAAATTTGTGGCACATACCTAAAGCAGGATGGTACATCTATCAGTAAAAACGAACAAAGTAGAACTACATCTATCAGAGTGCATACTTTTCAAAAACATAAACATGAAGGAAGAAAGAAAGTGGCCAAATATGTACACTGTGATACACTTTGTATAAGTCTTAAAATCATGGAAAATACTATATATTGCTTATGGATGTTTACATATATAATAAAAGAATAGAGGTACAGGGAAATAATAACCATATTCAGAACTTTGTTACTTCTGGAAGGGAGTAGACGGAGGATTTCAAATATGTCTATAATGTTTAATTTGTTAAGCTGGGTTTTAAGTACATGACGTTAAATATTTGTGATTTTTTTTAATATACCTGAGAAATTTCATATTAAAATATATTAATTCAATTTCTGGACCCAGCCCTACTGAGCAAGGAGTTTGGGAATCTGCAGTTCTCATGTATGATAACATTTTCCAAACAACTAAAATAGATCAAGAGAAATCTTCAAATAAATGGGCAACAAATCAGGTTCATAAGGGTATAATTTAAAACATTATATCTGCCTTGTTAGCTATAAAATAACGTTAAAATTATCTAGTAACAAAAAGAATAAGAAAAGCCATTCTGTGTTCAATTTTGCAGCATAAATAAAACATGAACATTTAATACAGTATATGTAATAACTACAATTTCATATTCTTTAGAGTTATTTAGCAAAAATACCTTTCAGGGATAGAAATACAGCTTAAATAATCTTCCTTTTCTGAGCAAAGAAAAAAATAATAATTCTAAATGTATCACAGCTAAAGAAGGAAAAAAAAGAAAAACCAACTTTTAAAAGAAAAAAATCACCATATTGCCACTAATACTTTTTCCCATTTAAAAATGTACTGTTGGCCAGGCACCATGGCTCACGCCTGTAATCCCAGCACTCTGGGAGGCCGAAGCCAGCAGATCACGAGGTCAGGAGTTTGAGACCAGCCTCACCAACATGGTGAAACCCTGTCTCTACTAAACATACAAAAATAGCCAGGCACGGTGGCACACGCCTGTAATCCCAGTACTCAGGAGGCTGAGGCAGGAGAATTGCTTGAACCCAGGGGCGGAGGTTGCAGTAAGCTGAGATTTTGCCACTGCACTCCAGCCTGGGTGAAAGAGAGACTCTGTATCAAAAAAAACCCAACCAAACAAGTAACAACAAAAAAAACCCTGTACTGTTAACTCCTCCAACTAACTTAATTTGGACATTATCTACTTCGGAAGCTAAAGAAAATGGCAGGAAAAAAAAAATTTAACTTCCTCATATTTTCTGCATTCATGGCAACTATTTCCAGTTGGTCTCTCTCCTGCTTGACTTCTGTCAATTTCTGCAACAAAGCCTCTTTCTCATCCCGTAGCTTCCTGCATTCATTCTGGGCCTGAGTTGCCTGGCCTTTAATGGTCCCCAGGTATTCTTGCAAGCCACTGATGACACCTTCTAACTCCTTCTTCAGGGCTTCATTTGCTGCTATCTGGCCTAAGCAAGATGCAAAAAGGGTAATAATATATCTTTTTAAAGTACTGTATTGCCCCTCAGCACTTTGTTACTACCCAAGAGTGAAGGTCTAAGCTTTCAATTCTTCCCTATCATTTTTCTTTTTCAAAACATAATGTTAAATTTTCTTCCTACTATAGATAGTACAGAAGTATTAAGCAGGTATAAAATAAAAATAGTATATTTTGTGGGCAATATTTGTAAAATGCCTCATTCATGCTGTGAAGAGTTTGATTTCCAAATAAAATAAAAAAAAAATACATAGCAAAACTGCGAGTTCTTGCTGCTAAATGCATAGAACAAAACCACTCAGTATACAAGATGAATCCAAGACTGTAAACATAAACATGTAACCTGAAGACTTAAAACACACACACATATCCCATATATAGTACTGGATACACACTATGTGCCAGGAACTTTATGAATACTATCTTTTTTTTTTTTTTTTTTTTTTTTTCCAGACAGGGTTTCACTCTGTTACCCAGGCTGGAGTGCAATGGTGCAATCATGGCTCACTGTAGCCTCAACCTCCCTGAGCTCAGGTGATCCTCCCACCTCAGCGTCCCAAGCAGCTGGGACCACATGCATGTGTGCCACCAGGGCTGGCTTATTTATTTATTTATTTATTTGTAGAAACAGTGTTTCGCCATGTTGCCCACACTGGACTCGAACTCCTGGGCTCAAGTGATAATGCCTGCCTCAGCCTCCCAAAGTGCTAGGATTACGGGCGTGAGCCACCACTCCTGGCCTATGAATATATCTCATGTAATTCTCCCAACAACTAATGATGGAGATAATAACAACTTGTCCAAGGTGACACAGCTGACAGTAGCAAAACAGGGAGTGAGACCTTTTTACACCGAGCCCAGGCTCTCACCACCATGGCCTATTGTCTTCCTTTTCCACTATTATGGAAACGTCACAGTTTAAATCTGCTGCAAAAGTAGATCCTAAAACTCTTTCTTTGTATAATCAGACACTGAATTCCCTGATGCCAATGGGTGCTTTGCTCCTGAATGGATTTTATGCCATAGACAATCACATGCCAGAGCTTATCATGATCATGTACTGACTTCTGGCCTACTGACTGGAAGGACCTGACTCACTAGACGTCAATGCAACAAAACAAAACAAAAACAAAACTTTAAAAGTGTATTAAATACTTTTGGGTATCCTGTAAATATTTCCCCATCAAACATTAGCACTAACAGGTAAACTGTATTAAGCTAATATCTGGATTAATGCTTATCTTTATCATCTTTCTTTTATTAGTAAAAAACTGACTTACCTTAAATCATATTTAAATTCTCACCTTCAGTAAGTTGTTCTTCAAGGTCCTTAATCTCTTCAGTTTCCTTAGCAATTCTAGAAAGTATCTCATCCAAACGACTTTCAAGTTGTTTGTACTGCTTGTTCATAATGTCAAGCTGTTGTTCTTTACCCCTCTTTTGAGCCTTCATATGGGACTGAATTAAAAAAAAAAATCAACAAAACCCCAAATTCCTTAAACTCCTTTAAAAATAATAATCCTTAACATTTTTAAAGAAAGAATAGAAAATAAATATAATAATTTGCATCTATTTTGTGTCAGGCCCTATACTGTTTTCACATAGGTAGTTTTCATTTAAACTTCAGGATAACTTGATGTAGAAATCATTTCCACTTTACAGGTGAGAAAACTGAGGATCAGAGAGGTTAAGTGATTTTTTTCAAGGGCATAGCTAGGTAGGTAATGTAGCCATGTTCAGTGTTATTTGCATTGCATGAGATTGTGCCTCTTTTTCTTTCTTTCTTTTTTTTTTTTTTTTGAAATGGAGTCTCACTCCATCACCCAGGCTGGAGTGCAGCAGCATGATGTGAACTCACTGCAACAACCATCTCCCAGGTTCAAGTGAGTCTCCTGCCTCAGTCTCTCGAGTAGCTGGGACTACAGGTGCACACCACCACACCTGGGTTTTTGTTTCTTTGTTTTTCGATTTGTTTTGTTTTGTTTTTTAGTAGAGATGGGGGTTTCACCATGTTGGCCAGGCTAGTCTCGAACTCCTAATCTCAGGCGATCCGACAGCCTTGGCCTCCCAAAGTGTTGGGATTACAGGCATGAGCCCCCATACTGGCCTAAAATGTGTCTTTTAAAAAAGGTTTCCAAAGTTAGTTGGTTATAGCATATATCTATAGAAAAAAACTTAAAAACTATATCCCAAAATGTTAACAAGAATTATACTTGGGTGGAAGGATTACACGGGGAATTTTTTTCCTTCTGTAATGAGTATTTTTATATTTAAAAAGACTTTTACAGTAGATGCCTTTTTAATTAGAAAACACATTAAATGTATTAAAAAAAGGTTTCTTAGAAGGAAATAGAGGCATGAAATAGATAAAATACTTGAAATTCAAATTTACTTTGAATCTTTTATACAAACATTTTGCTTTTTAATAAACTGAGAGCTGAGAGGGACCTCAAAGACCACTTAGCCCAGTGAATCTCAAAATGGAGGGCCCTACGGAGGCATACCTCTCTACCATACACTTGTCCATGGTGGAAAACAGAGCTTTCACACACCCACACACCCTCTGGTGCCCTGAAGAGTGGATTGTATTTCTCAGGTATGCTAAGGAAAGCAAATCAAGAGGCATCGATCTAGTCTAACCCTTCCTTTTAAACATGAGAAAACTGAATTTCATTTCCATCAAATGACTTTCCCATCTCCTAAGGCAACTGTTCATATGGAGACAAAATAATTCCCCAGAGAACCTTTGCCCTCCCCCTCACTCCTTCATGACTCTTAAATTTGCACCCACAGGATCAGAAGAACACAACAATAAATAAGAGAAAGTTATCAAAAGAGGGAACTGTATCAGTCAGAAAAATGAACACCAATGATTTCAAGTCTAAGACCCATGTGATTATAAAAGAACATTTCTCAATTTTATGTATTTGCTTACCCCAAATACAAGAAAGAAAAGTGTCTTCATTTCTGATGAACAAAAGACTGTGGCAGCTTAATTGGAAGGTTTTAAATTTACTACTGGTAAAACTTTATGGGATTTTGCAAACTCTTTTCCCTACACTCCCAAAATACCCATTTGAAATCTTTCTGAAAAGTTACATGTAACAGCTTACATTCTAAGTAAATTTCGAATTGTTACGGCTCAAGAAGTAATTTCTTAAAAGACTGCACTCATATCTGTATCAATAAATCTTTAAAATTCACCATTTAAAATTCCACCTAAATCTTTATACACGGGACAAAAATTTGGTTCAATATGCTCATGGTGTATATTAAACACATAAGAACAAAAGTAGATTCTGCGATTTACACCACCGTGGAGCTCACAAAAGAGTTATCGTAAAAACAGGAACTTCCATCTCTGACTCCTCCTCCTTTTAAGTCCTTTGTACAGAGAGAGAAAAAAAATGATCATACCTTAACTTAAAATTCATCCTGTTAAAACTGAGCCGTTGATAACAGAGAAATAGTGGGCGGAACGCTTTCTAATGCTGTCTTCCAATTCAAGTGCACTTCCCTCTCTGACAGCCACATTTTTGCAAGCGCCTCGGAGCCTCTGTAACTTTGCAGAGCCTCAAACCACATTCTTGACCACGAGTGAGCGGCAGCCCCGCCCATCCAATCACCAGCAGCCTCTGCGGGCAGGCCCCACCCTCCACGAGTTAAATCATAACACAGGAAGCTCCCAGGGCCAATCACGCCCAAACTTTGCAACAGATCACTGCAACAGCTCATTCCCTCCAGCGAACAGTTACCTTTGGCTTCCAACAGGGCATTTCCCAAAAGTAATACAAATCTTTATTATGTTTGCTCCTGTGATAATCTGTACTTCTATGAGTAATTTTATAACTAAAACAGTCTGTGATTTTTAAATGGCACCCTTTCCTTTTGAAACCTAGTTAAGTGCTTATATTCGCTGAAAACTTGCCTAGGTTTGGTTCTGATCTAATTTTAAAATAATCTCTTTAGACCTTTAATCCCTTTGTGAGGAGAGGGTCATTGCAGTAGCATAAGCGAGGGCTCCACCTCTTTCTAAAATGATGATTTGGGAGCAAATCACTTAATCTTTCTATATCACATTTTCATCCTCCGCAAATTGAAAGAAAAATGGATGGATGTGATAAAATGAAGTTCCTTGCCAAAACATGGACAATGCCCAGCACAATGTATGACATATCATGGGCACTTACTATGTTTGTTTTCTATCATATCTCATCAAAGTTAAGCTTTTACTTTTAAATTATATTGGCCATTCAGAAAGATACTTCATCTGATTACATAAAAATTAATTAAAGTCTACCTATATCTATAGAAAAATATGCAGGCATCTCACTCTTTATAATTCCTCTTCTGCTTAAAGACTCACATTTTTTAGCCTAAAATGGGATGCCTACTACTAGCCAATATGAAACTTTGTGAATCAGAAGATGTTCCCTTTGGATGAACTTAAAAGAGATCTCCTCTGATGCTGGGACTAATGCTGCAAACTTAAGAACTGTTAGTAGTTTTAATAAAATTAAAAAAGAAATTCAAATTTGGTTTGTATGTTTCATCCCCACTGCACAGGTTGACTTCGAAACTTGGATGCCATTCCCATGTCTTATTTACCTCCTTTCTATATATAATTATCTACAGAAATCCAGTGACAAACTCTCTGCCAGAAATATCACAGTCATTTATTGAAAGCAAACACATATTCCAGCTACTAATTAGACTCATGGATCACAGAACTGGAAGGGGAAGCAAAGGAGTTTTGGGTAGGATCTGGTCTATAAGCTGCTTCCTTCCTCCCTTCCATGATGCAAACATTCATAAGGCAAACATTCATAAATACAGGGCTGGTCCCTGGGGATACAGATACCAGTAGGATACAGTTCATGTCCTCAGGTACCTTACATGGGTGGCAGATTGAACAAATATATTTTCCCCTAATATATGTGATCTGCAGTTGGTTAAACCCACAGATGCGGAATCCATGGATATGTAGGGCTGACTGTATTTATATATCACTTAAATTTGTACATCAAATTAAAAGAGACTTTCAGAAAGGACTCTGGACTCTGATGCTAACAATAATGAGACATGTAATATGTAGACAGACAAGTCGAAATTTCTTAATTTACTCACATGTTTTGGGTCTTTGGAATCCAGTCTACCTATGGCTATTTGAAGGTCCTTGATCTCCTTCTGCTTTTCAGCAATTTCCTGCTTTTGTTTTTCCATCTGCAGTTCTAGATCCAAAGCTTCCGGGCGTAATTGATTCACAAGTTGTAGTCTACCACTCAACTGCTTGTAAAGAAGGTCTTTCCCTGCTTCTGAAATCTAATCTCCCCAAACCCCAACAGAGAAGAACAACATTCATTTATTAAGACAACATCTATAATTTTAAAAAGTATTCTATGTTCTATCAGTTTTTTAAAAATAAAAGTAAAATATGGGAGTTTTCTAAGCACTCCATTGCATATTTTACACTTTTATGATTATATGTAGAAAATCTTACTTTATAAAAGTTTATGAAAACTAATAGGCACAAATCAAGTTGTCATTCTATAATAGTATAGGCAACTTGTAAATTATTAATAATAAACATAATACTAACTTACTATGGACCATGCACTGTTCTAAACTCTATATCCTTTTATTTAATTCTCAAAACATATAAAGTAAAAAGTATAATTATCCAATCTTATAGATAAGGAAACTGAATCATGGAAAATTTGAATATCTTACCCAAGGTCATACTAGGAGTTTGTGGAAGCAAGACTTTGTGTGACTGTAGACAATTTCACTGACTATTACACTACAGTTTACTAATTAGCTTTAGTATAAAGACAGTCAACCAATATACTGAGTACTGACATAGAAGCAATCACTTAATACTCCCTTATTTCTAACAGTTTTTAACATAGACATTTAAACAAATGTAAAAATAAAGACAGTCAACCAATATATTGAGTACTGACATAGAAGCAATAACTTAATACTCCCTTATTTCTAACAGTTTTTAACATAGAGATTTAAACAAATGTAAAAATTTCTCCAGAGTCTGTATAGAAGTGTAAAAAACAGGGCCGGGCGCGGTGGCTCAAGCCTGTAATCCCAGCACTTTGGGAGGCCGAGGCGGGTGGATCACGAGGTCAAGAGATCGAGACCATCCTGGTCAACATGGTGAAACCCCG